GGGGCCCCCCCCCCGGGCTCGGCTGGAGGAGCCGGGGCCCCCATGGGTGCTGCCTGCCGGGACGTGGCTCCCTGTTCCAGCGTGGGCCAGGACCCCTCGGCCGGGGCAGCTGGGGGGCACCGACCTGCTCCCCCTGCCAGCACCGGGGCCCCGCTGAGCCGTGGGGCGCCCGCGGCTGCTTTTGGGGTGACGGAGGGGGACGGGGACAGCACCCCCAGGTCCCTAGCACCCAGCACCCCTCCTGCCCTGGCTGGGGAGGGGACCTCTTCCCCCGGCCAGGACGGGGGCTTGGCTTCACCCCCACGGCGCGGGTGGGAGGCTGCGCCGCCGGCGAGCACGTTCGGCAGCGGGAAGGGTGTAATTACACCTTCCCTGGGGAAGAGGAGGAGGGGGGGGAGGAAGGGGTCCGGTATCTCCAGGTGGACGCTTGGCAGGCCCCCATCGCCCCCGTCGCCATTCCCGAAACGCTGCCAAGGGCCGCGTCGCGCCTCTCCCGCCATCCCCGCGCCGTAACCGCGACCAGATGGCATCACCGGCGGAGCCCGGTGCCAGCGGCCGGGGTGGGCGTCTCTTCCCCACACCGCCCCGGTTTCTCCCCGGGGAGACCTCGCCAAAGCCGCCACCGCGCGGCAGAGGGCCGCAAAAGGAAAAAACCAGCTGCTCCCCCCGCCCCGATTCCGACTCTCCGGCTTCTCCCCTTCGGAGCGATATCCCTTTTCTCCCCGGCGACGGCTCCAGTTTGCCTCCCTTCCACGCCCCTGGGTGGAGGGGGGCCCTGGGACCCCGAAACCAGGGGGGCACATCTGGATGGGGGGGGGTCTCTGGGGACCGCACTCCCCCTGCCCGGCACACACTGGGGTCCCATCCTGCTCCGTGGGTGCTGCCCCACGGTGATGGGGGGGGCGCAGGGGCTGGATGTGCCCCCTCCCCGGTGCACGGCCGCTGGTGCTGGATGGCGGCTGCTCCTTCAACAAAAGCGAATTCCTGCTCCGGCCGGGGAGTGGGGCTGGGGGGGGGGC